AATTCATAAATATATACAAATTATTAATACAAAAATTAATACAAATTAATACAAAATTATATGTTACAGTGATACCATTTGTGTCAGAGCGGCTGAATTTAGTTACAAAGTGTCACAATGGTTCTATTTCGGGTGCAACAAAACTCCTTTATGATGATTTTTGTTAACCCCTACATTCCTTGTGATACCTCAGTCTTACCACCAACCAACTCCAAGGGAATTCCTATTCATTAAGTGTAATTGAGTTTCTATTCACTTTTTTTCGGCCAGGTGTCGGTCTCGTAGCTCATAAAAGTACGTTAACCTCTTGAAAAGTACACATTGTCTCGGAGCCCCCTAATTACATAGTTATGCTAATTGATATGATCAATACAGGCGATGATTTTTAACCCCACATGTTCGTTCGTCATAAGCTGCGCTAATGGTTTTGCGTATCGATTGCTACCTGGCCCTATGATATCGACATGGATATAGATACGGTGACCGTCTGCATACGCTAATAGCCCCAAAATGTACTTTTAACTTCTACTTAATACCCCAGTCACACCGATAAGACCGACATCAGACCGACACCAGACCGATCAAACAATCACACTACCTCCCATGACTAACAATCGGTCAGTTTTACGTCGGTTTGAAGTCGTGTGACTGAGGTATAACGTTCGATATCTAATCCTTCTGTGCACTTTTATGCCAGACATCCGGCATGTCATCATCTTATATTTTGTGTAGTATACATCCCAGGGAAACGTCTTATTGTGGATATTCTTTATTTTTTATTTTTTGTTGTTGAAATAAATCTTTATTCAGATAAAATCATGGATAACATCGTAGTACATAGATATTCATAACAAAGCACTTAATCACATGTCTAAATGAGGTCAAATCAAATTATATCTCTATTTACTTGATAGCAGATTTTAAATTAGTAATTGTCTTCTTTCACTTAATAATATTCAAATTCGTTGTCTTAGTTTTGTTTTCCTCTTCTTCTATTTTGTATTTCAACATAAACAAAAAATGATTTGCTTATTATTCTCGTCACTACATTTTTATTAAATTGATTTCCAACACTCGCTTTATAGATTGCAAATAAAGCATAATGAAGTATTAAATCAATATCTGTAACATTTTCTTTTGCGTCATGAAAACCATATATACAACACAAATGGGTGAGAATTAAAAAATTTTACAGAAGGAGTTACATAATAATATTTCAATAACGTTCCAAAATCGGTAAATATTTTCGGTGGATATTCTTTATCATTGCCTTTAATCTATTTATATGCTTTGGAAATTGTACACAAAATAATATTGATGCAATTAAAGTTAATATGCATGATTGATTGATATGTGACGTCACTGTTATACCTCTGACAGTTTTAAGACACGCCCTTTTCACTTTTGTTTGTATCCATCTTGTCTTCGAGCAAAGGCTTTTATGCTACTTTATCTTTGTCTGTGTGTCTATGTACAATCCTTTTCTATATTCATCACTATATCTATCATTAATTTTATTGATTTATTTTATTCAATGACTTAATTTTTATTGATCTATTCAATTATATATTTATATATATTCATGCATTTATATTTTATATGTTTAATCACTCATACATTGTTTATCTATTTATTTATTCATTTATTTACCTACTTCTCTCTCTCTTTCTCTCTCTCTCTCTCTCTGTACTATATATTCCGCGGAACTTTAATAAACGCATCTATATAGTTTGCAAAACACTCGTGCAAATACTGACTGTCTGACCCATATACAAAAGCACACACTCAGCTTATAAGTGAAAGTTTAAATAAAACAAATTAGATTGAGTGAATCCACAGAAAATTCCTTATATGAAGATGAAAATATATACAATCTTTATCCTGATGAAAAGTTAAACGATAAAAAAAAATCTTTTTAATGATAGGTAGATCAGCGTCACGCGAGCTAAATAAAATTGGAATACCAGCGAAATTTACAGAAAGTGCAGACTTAATGGTTGACTACAGTTACGTGTGGAGACATAGACAAACATCAAATGCGAGGGGATATGAGAGAACGGGCGAGAGAATAAGAGAGAGAGAGAGAGAGAGAGCCAGAGAGGGGAGATGGTAGAAATGTGAATTTTTATATTGAAATATTAAATTTAGTTCAAATTAACCCCGATTGAAAAAGAAATTAATATACTAATGTAATTGATTATTTTGGCAGATTGATGAAGCAAAATCAAATTAAAGAAAATAGCTGAGAGAGAGGGAGGAAATATCATATACAGAAATTAAAACAGCCTTTGAACGCCCTCCTCCTCTGTAGCACCCCAATAAATACAATTTGATATGGATCTATACAAATTACATTCCACCCCTACTTATGATTTACGCCTCTACATTTATATTTCATGTACTTAGGCATAGGCTATATCGGGAATTTCATGAATATTTTAAGCAGCAAAAAAAAAAGGAACAAAACAAAAAAAGAAGCCGTATTAGGTGCACTTACCTTCATTACAAATATCAATATGTTGAGCGCATGCACATTATTTCAAAATGAAACATATATATATACAGTAAGAAAATAGTGGCTAAAGTTTTGGAACTTGAGTGACCTCATTTATGCGTCATATCGAAATAGAGAAATTTTGACGAATTGAAAATATTCTGCCCATTATTTCAATAAAAAAATGACAAAAAGATCAAAGAAATATTACACATGTAGAGATGTGCATCAACCACAAATGCCGAACACGAATTTGTTGGGGCACTTTTCTTCCAGTTTTTGATAGAGTGTATCACATGTCCTACAATAAAAGACACACAATTTAGTTACTGTTGTTGTTGTAAATTCAAAACTTCATATGTTAGATAAATAAAAACATCATGCATTAAGTTTGAATACCTATAGAGGGATGTTAAATGAGAGAAAAAAGTATCGATAAACAAATCTATTCTCACAATTAGTTCGATATAATTATGAGTAATACATGACAAAAACAAAATTAAGGGTTATTTCTTTAATGTTTTTATTATAGTTGAATTTGTTTCCAAATCTAAATGATTAGTATTAAATAGAAGTGATAAGAAGTTTTACGAAATTAAACAGAATGAAAAGAAGAAAGAAAGAAAGAAGGAAGGAAAGAACGAGAGCGAAAATGTGGAAAGAAGAGTTGACAGTAGGCCTATACATGACAAGACAGCAAACTATCAATGAGTTTGATTTCTTCATTGGTATTTCTCTCTAAAAAGGTGATGCGTTTTCTTACCTATAAAATCACAAAATCATGTAAATCTACACAAAAAACAATCACATTTTCATCAATATTTTGTTATGACAATAATGAATTATAGTTAAAAAGCATCCCAAATAACAGACACTTTGCAATATTTCGAAGCAATTCAGCGGTTAATTAGTAACCGAAATGTCATCAGTTTGTGTAATAATTATATTGAAATTAATTTTGTCTTACATGAGGGAATTTGTATGTACTATGATTTTTATGAACATGTGTGGCTTTACTTTATCTTTACCTACATGAGTAAATGACACAGTTATAGTTACGTTACTCAATTTTATATGTTTGATTCGGATTCGAAATGTTGGTTAAGGGATCCAGCAACTTTGTCTCAGATTCTGAAACAAAATCCTGGATTTAGCTCATGCTGCAATGATGATTATAAACCTTTAGGTCAGTCAGGAACCCCATGACTTTTATAAGCCGATCGCCTGTCTAATTATCAAGATATTTATGATTGGAAATCGAAATAAAATTTCGTGTTTGCCAAACGGTTTTCATAACACTACAGTCTAATGGGGAAAACGAGTACGGTAAAACCGGTCAATCAAAGATTTTTTTTATTTTTTTCTGGCATTTCTTGATCATTTTGAAGCGCGATTTATTTTAGGGCTTCAATATTACACCATATCACAGACACTGATAACATGTAGAGCCGTGTATCTCAGATTTAACATTGTTAAACGATGCTTTTAAGGCCATGAAATAAAGAACACAACATAAGAATAAAATATAACAATCAAACTTTTTTGTACAGGTTATAACACATAAGCAGATAGAGTGGAAATGGAACGCTGGATTCACAATCGAGAGATTTTACAAAGTGCTAAATAAATATGTTTTTCAAATCATTTCTGAACTTTTCTTATGTTTCTATATTTCTAAGGTATTCCGGCAAGTTATTTCATGAAACAGGGGCTGCCTATGAAAATGACCTTTCCCCGTAAGATTTTGTCATATTTTGTGGGACAAAAATGAAGACGTTTTAAACTAAAAGCAGCGTTCTTCGTGGTTTATACTATATTAACAATTCAATGAGATATGATGGAGCAAACTGTTCGAAACATTAATAAGGAAATAAAATTATATACTGAACACGGAATTGGATAGGTAGCCAATGTAAAACATGAACGACAAACACATAGAACAGAACAGAATAATAAGCACATACGAAATAATTTCAAACGTTTAAAGAAACATAAAGACAATATACAACAGAATCTGTTTATTTTAATTTAATCAACTAAAGAATTAAAAGTTTTTAGCCAAAAGAATTTGACGTGGTAGCTCGACTGAATTATTTATACCTACAATTCAATTTCAATTTTCTTTTATTAGGCATAATCCTCCTTATCTAATACATTGTGTATCATTAAAATGGTTAACACAGTTTTTAAACTGTGATAAGGAGCAATTCTGATTAAATCATTTCAGGGATAAAGTCCGTTTTATATTCACAAAACACAGTGGTTTACCAAACATATTCTGCTTCATTTCTTTATATTTTGGGGCACTCAGTAATGAAGAATTTGGACAAAGACTCGACTGATAACATTTTAAGTTGTTTAAAAATATCTTTTAATACTATTTTCCCCTTTCGATCTTCGTTTAGTTCGTAAAAGTATTGACTGGAATATCTTTTTGTCATTTTGGATGTATTCACATCTTACTAATACCTAAACAATACTTGATTTTAAGAGGAAATTAACTCACCAAAACCTCCTGCAAAGTCTCCGAATCTGGGCAGCATGACGCCGTTACGAAACCAGTCGACAGAGAAAGAAGATAGCGGGTGGCCGCTCCGTACCCCATGCTCACCGACCGCCGCTGCTGCTGCGGCTCGAAAAGCACTGAGATGATGTGCGGCTTGTGCATGATGCTGGCCGCCAAACAGCCCGGCGTACAGTGGGTGCGAGTAGATGGCTGGAACCACGGAGGCGTTAGGCGCCATGCCGGAAACAGGTGGATGAAAACCAAGGAGTCCTGGTTTGGGGACCAAGCTTCCAGTGTGCATCCCTCTTGCTTGAAGGGCGTGGTGGTTACCTCCACCAATACCACCGCCTGCAGAAGGGTGCGATAAGGGTGTGGCCCCAAGTGCACGGTCCATCATAGATAAACGGGAGGGGTGTGGTTGAACTGGTAGCGGGCTTAGAGGACTGCTTCTATCCAGAGGCGGAGGTGAGTTCATCGGGGATTTCGTCTTCCAACCTGACGAAACCTCCTTTGAAAGGAGCGCATCAATGGTGAATGCTTTAGAAGATTCCATCATGAAAACCCGCTCTTTCATTTAAGAATACAATTAATTTCTATTCGAGATTTGCGATAAACACGAGTCGGCGGGAGAAAAAAGGCGAAAGCAAGGTTACAGAAAATCGATTGCTTCGTTTTGAAAATGACAACTGCTGTAAAAAGTCCGAAGATGCGCTATAGAGAGGGGAAAAGGAGAAGAAGCGCTAAAAGTCTGAATGAATGAGTAACGGAAACAGAAATGGGTCGGAGAGAGCGAGTGATTGTAGTGAAGCGATCATGGAGTAATACCGCTCCGGAATGCATCAGTGACAATGATTGGAGGTCCTCTTAAACCAATTGACTCCACCTTCAAGTAGCTGTAATCGTCATCATGAGATCGAGACACACTATACCCGGAACCACGTGTAATGCTAGGCCGCTAAGACAGGCGGACATGAAGGCTAGCGATGCTCATCGCTCTTCTTCTCTCTCAAATCATCGATACCACGGCGCCATAATACGCTCACTAATAATAACCGCGCTCTCGTCCTATCACAGCTCAGCTCTTAAAACGAATCCGTCACAACTCTTTCAATCACTGCAAGACACAATCGTTCTGATTGGCTGCTCTAACCTTTCCTAAAATATTATTACCTCTCCCCTCAAAATCAGACGAAGCGAGCGCTTAATCTGAGCTTGATAGCTCGCGAGTAATTAGGCGTTTTAATTACGTGTTGACACGGCACTAATAAAAGCACAAGGCTTCATTGATCTTGGGGTTAATAATCGTATTTATTTTATTGGAGACCGAACCTCCATGCAAACACAGCGGATTTGCAACCGTTTGGTTACCACTACGTTTGTCTTGGCGATTGCCACGGGTGATTGGACTAGATGGGGGCCTCGATCCTTTCTCATTGTTGTGTACACAGCGCGCGTAGATCTCCAAGGCGTCTAATCGCACAATCTGTCTTCTTCGCACTTACCCAATGCAGCCTACAATAATAATTAGCAATGGTCAATAAATTTACAAATATCCGTACCACTTTGATGCAAGTGAGCAAGCAGACGAGTAATCCGTTGATTCAGAGATGTGGTCACCTGAATCACCCTTAAGAATATTGATATTTCAAGATTGTCATTTTAAGGTGCTGGTATGTGATCTCTCATGCGATTTACTGTTTGTTGTAAGAAAATTTCAGAGTTGTATGAAAACTCTTATTTTTATTAATTAATTAATTATTATCCTAGTCCTTTGTAAGTTTTGTTTTTATCGACGAGAATGATACAATACTAGGCCTATCAGGCTATCAGTGATAGTAATATCAATCACTATTAAATAAACATTCAGTCATTAATTATATCATCGCTCGTGACCCCTTTTTTAAAACCATATTGCCATATAATCTATGCACACAACCAAAATATGCCTTTAAAACGCCAAACGCACCTGAAAATGTGATACCCCCTCCCTTTTTGCTCATCAGAGATTAATTGCTGCATGAGAATTTCACTCTTTAAATAATGTTTTTGAAGAAGAAACACTGACAGCAAAACTTAATCTAGTTCAGGGTGAAATGCGACTAATCATGCCAAAGGTTCGAAACTCGAGATTATTATTTTATCTCCATCCATTAGGAGGGCGGTTCATTTTTCTACGGATCCGTAAAAGGGAAACTAATTTCCACAAAGAGAGCAATTCAACGTGCCTTGGGGTAGGATTAAGAAGGGGACTATAGAGAAATTAGGGTAAAACGTTCCTCGCACCCACGGGGTTTGTAAAAGATATAATTTGTCATGGCATTATAGTTAGACTACTTCAGATCTATAACAAAAATTGTGATAGTAATTAACTAATTGTAGTATGGATGTATTAGTGAGAAGAAAAGGTTGGTTGTATTCTGCTTCATATAATAAGTACATTTGACAGGCGATCAGTCATATTAAACCGGACGAGGTATAATGTCGTACCTCTTTTCTATTCTCCGAGGATTATGAAGACATCTTGTATTTCTGACGAGTTCAGTTGTGAAATGAATTTAATATGATGAGCATGAGTGTACCGGGGGGATTTAAAGAGCTTGGATACAAAGTGATGCAATTGATTACTTTAAATGTAATGAAAACGTGTTTTTCGAAACTTAATTGAAATGAAATCATGACACGCAGAAGAAATAAAATGTTATTTTAATGCCAAACATTACTATTTGTTATTTACACAGTTTTAAATGCTTGATTTTATGATTAATAAATGACTCAAAACTCTATTAAAAGTTGACTATAAAAACATTTCTACACTTTGAACTGTTTCGATACCATATCATGAAAAAACAGTTTAATAGATAATTGAAATACAATGGTATGAAAAAGTTAGACACGTAATCGAAAATTAGAAGGTTATGATTAATGTCGTCCGTGACATTGTAACATACTCTGTAATCATATCATCGCAGCGTGCAAATTTCTGAAATAAAAAAAGTTGTATATGATACACAATATCGTTTTAGTCCTCATTTTGTTAAATCAATAAACCCAGGCATTAAAAAGAGATATATATCCACAAGGACACTGTAAGAAAGAGTATAATAAGATATTATCTTGCAAGATTCTAACATAATAGGCCTATTAGGGGCAATATTACAGAGATCCCAACAATTACGACTCTAGATTTATACGCCAATGAAGTCTGTACAAATATCATTCAATGCCGTTTATCGGTCGAAAGCTGGTTTTAACGACATATTAATGACCTGCCGCCTCAAATTCAACCATCAAAACTCGACTACCGAATACACATAAAACTTTGCGATTTCTCACCTGTGTGACAACTTTATCAGAAAAAACTAGGTCCAAGTCTCTAGAAATTCGTTTGATTTGACTTTGTTTTGCTGACTCTCACCGGTCGGTTTCTGTCAAAATTACAAGAAAAATGTAATTTCTTCATGAATATCCAAGCTTGTCACAAAAATTACCTCGAACATTGCTTTCATCGGAGGGCTAGTCCGTGTAGTCAATATACAACACTGACAAGTTTCGCCTCTTTCTGTTTTTCTTTTTAACTCGAAAATAATGAATGGTTGATGGGGAGACAAATTAGGGTTTTGATTTGTTAATGGCGGCATTCCTTTGATCTTTTGTTGCAATTTGCGAAGAATGCCGAGATCTTTTCTTGGTAATGGGAAAAAAATGTGAATGACCCATCAAGCTTCTGCTATTTGCTATGAGGTAAAGTAGATGATAGTCAATGTGCTAGAACGGTAAACCTGTTTTCGGGCAAGCATGATGGATGGATTGTCAAGCATATTTCGATAACAGACCGTAAATAGAACGCAATCTGTACTGTGAATTCAAATAATCCTGCAACCTGTTTGATAATTACATATTGAATTTGTTCCTACGCAATGTATGTTCCGTTTACATGCAGGATGAGCTATCTACATTTTTTTCTTCTTTCAAGATTCCTTATAGACCAACGTAAGAAAAACCAATAAGATAGAGTAATAATTTCGGAGAAAGTAAATTAAAAATATCATTCACAGATTTCATTGAATAAGATTATGAAACGCAGGTATTAGAAGAAACGGTTTCATCCTTAAAATAAACTCTTTTTGTATAGAAATGGCAAAGTACAAGATCAAACAGATCTCCTAAAAAATAAATTTTACATAACGGTCAATCTAACCAAAAACCAAACAGATAACCAACTGTCGAGATCAACGACCGCGAAACCGACAGTGTCGGAGACCCTTCAGAAAAGTTTTCCGATTGTAAAGGAGCATTACATACTGGTCTAAGGGTCATCGGTCTCGAAAACTGCTGCGAACGGACATGCAAGATGACCGACAACGAGACCGACAACTCTAGCAACAAATGATCGCTAGAGCGGCGACACCGAAAGCGTCGATCTAGTGAACCCTTCAGAAAGGTTGTCAGAAGGTAAACGAGTCCAGCGTGTTAGTCCCGTCGACCATCATTCTCGCGATACCTCAGGTAACTTTTTTTCTCATAAAGGCAACAAAACTGACAAAGTCGGTCTCACGAGTCGGTTCCGAGGCTGTCAGTCTCATAATATGCTGTCGGTTTGGCATGCCGTCGGTCGTCTGAGCTATAGTTAGGGAGAATTCTGAAAATATCAGAAACACTGATTTAAGGAGTACAATCGGTCATCAAAAGATTATAATCAGTAGGTGAGTAATTGATTTATTACATTTGAAACGAGGACATAAACAATGGCGTTAAATGTTCATAAAGTGACTCACAAAGAAAGACAGCCGCCAAATCTACAGTGATCTACCGAAAGACAAAATAGTACGGAAGTTATATAACTTATCACAACATCTTGAAAAAGATACACCTTGCACCATTTCCTTGATATCATTTATATTGCTTTCATTCTTGATAACCATTAGCATTTGATATTGCAATATAGTACCGCTTTTAGACACATTTTATTTTCGGTTCCTGTTTAAAGAATTTTTATTTTAATTGAAAATGAAATCTGTAATATAGCAGCTAGATCTAAGGAAAATGCAATCTTGATACCAAAACAGAAGAATGTTCGAGACATTTTCAATTGAAAATAGGTAAATAATATACATATAATAATATAAGAAAATACAATTATGATATACTAGATTGATCAGCCCTAGTCAAGCACATCCACGTCTCTGACATTATCGAATTTGTCTTTTTACCTTTGCTCTCTAAAACCCAAACAATTGTCTTGAAACCTAGAAAATCATCAACTGACAGCCGTAAAGTGGAATAGAAAGAAAAGGAGATGCGTGTAACATAAAACTTAGAATAGGGGTGAGGTCTTTGCTACAAGAAGCGAACGTTTCCATGACAATGGCTCTCCAGTGATGATACGCTTGAGATACATGTACGTGCGATTTTACATCAAACAAGAAATCTTTTCTTCAGCCTATCATCAAGATAATTCTCAAAGATCAGACATCAATGCCTGGCTGTAATATCGCTATAATGTTTAATTGATCCTGCATAAAGGTGAAGAGAACCGAGATTAAATTAATTTCCAAACATTCTGCGGTTGCCATCCTTCGCCTCTTGACTTTATACATCGCTCTCATACTCCGTTGCTTAGTAACCAATTGATGGTGTTTCTTCTCGTTCCGTCTCGTTTCGCTGCGTTTCTTTTTTTCGTTTAATGATGATTGGTTAGGACAATATCACTAAATGAACGACAAAAGTGGGTACTTATGGATGAACTATACATCGCCGAGCAATGAGAGAGACACATATCTTCGAGACGAGACTGAATGAAAATAATCATAAATGATTTTTTTTTTCTTCTTCTACGTTGATGTTCGATATATAGGTAGGTGAACGAAAAAATGTATAACAGTAGGGTTTCCTTTTTCAAGTCTATTTATTTGTTATGTGCGAGAGACTTAAAGACACATCGTCGAGACGAGGCTGAATGATAATAGGAATAAAGAAATCTATTTTCTCTAGATTCAGTTCGATATTATTGGTGGGTGAGTGAATCAACTAGTAAAATTGTGTTTTTCCTCTTTCAAGCTTTTTTGTTTGTTAGTTTTGATACAGCAGTGCGTATACTATTCATGGATGAACTTATAACGGCGAGCATTGCGAGAGAAAATAGAGATATCAACGAGATGC